CTCTCTCCCTCTCTCCCTCCCTCCTTACCCGTTCTTCCCTACTTTACCCTATTGTTACTATTCTTTGTTCTTGAGCTACAGTTATTGTAGTTAAGAAAATCGGTATTACAAATCTATTGGAAAGCTCAGAGAGTTATGCAATCTCAATGTGCCAAGTGCTAGGTACACAGCAGAATACATGTACTCTGCGGTATTGTCTGAGGGAGGCTCAACTTGCCTGGCTGCAAAGAGCTTTTCCGGGGCGATACTTTTTTTTTGTAGCGTCTATCTTGGAGGATCTTCGTGTAGGGTGTACACTGCACTGATTTGACCGCTCGGAGTTGGTGGGTGGGTGGTTGACGGGTGCTCTGGTGTGGTTCGCTTCTTCTTTCCTGTCAAACTTCTATCGTCCTTATCTCCCCTTCTTTTTTTATGTTTGTTACTCTCTTGTAACTCTTCCAATCTTCTGGCGCTCAATATGACCTTATGCAATTTCGCGCGCCGTAATACCTCTACTAATACTAAAGGAGTTGATGAGTGGGTGGGTGTTTGGTGGGTGCTCTGGTGTGGTTTCCTCCTTTTAAAAAAAAAATCAAACTTCTGTCGTTATATTTCCTTCGTTTTGTGTGTGTGTTGTGTGTGTGTGTGTGTGTGTGTGTGTGTGTGTGTGTGTGTGTGTGTGTGTTACTGTCTTGTAACCTCTAATCTTCGGCTGTAATCTGACCCAATTATGTTGCAAGTGCCATAAAACACGTATTAAAGGAGTGGGTAGTTGGGGTGGAGGGCGCCACTGGTAAGTCTTGTTTCTTTTCTTTTCCTCTTTTATTTTTGTCTATCCGTCTTTTCTTCTTCTCTGTACACTGTGCCCATTATTGTGTCGATGTACTTCTCTGTACACAAACTCAAATCGTGGGTGGTTGGCGGGTGCTCTGGTGTGGTTTGCTTCTTGTTTCCTATCAAACATCTCCCCTCCCCCTTCTTTTCCCATTGTTATTCCCTGCTCTTGTTCTTTATCTCTTGGACTTTATCTCTTGGTCTTTATTTCTTGGTCTTTATCTCTTGTTCTTTATCTCTTGGTCTTTATCTCTTGGTCTTTATTTCTTGTTTTTTATCTCTTGGTCTTTATCTCTTGTTCTTTATCTCTTATTCTTTATCTCTTGTTCTTTATCTCTTGTTCTTTATCTCTTGTTCTTTATCTCTTATTCTTTATCTCTTGTTCTTTATCTCTTGTTCTTTATCTCTTGGTCTTTATCTCTTGGTCTTTATCTCTTGGTCTTTATCTCCCCTCTTTCTTTTTTTTTGTGTGTTTGTTACTCTCTTGTAACATGTCTAATCTTTGGCACTTATATGACCTTATTGTGTTGCAAGTGGCCGTAAAACACCTACTAAAAAATTCAAATCCGATTATTTTTCTGGATCTGCCAGTGACAACGACACTTTCAGATCAGTTGTTTCCGTTAAGCTCTTCGGCCTTTGCGTATAGAAAATGTGAGCTTGATTCTTACATGAAGCATTTTATCGATGGTCTCGGTCTGTCTGGCTCTATTTATGCTGTGCCTATCGGCCCGGATTGGTTGCTCGTGCCGATATGCTTCTCATTACTCAAATAAACACACAAAACAAAACAAACAGATGGTATCAGTATCAGTTGTCGATGGGGGTGCAAAACATGTATACTCAAATAGAGGCTCGAAATGGCTAGTTGTTCTTCACAAAACGCTGAAAATGGCGGATAAGTTGGAGGGGGGGGTATCATGTTGAGGTTAACATTATTCAAGCCGGTGGTTTCTTGTATGGGGTGGGGTACTCAGGCCAGTTCGTCTGCTCAGTCCGACTCGATCATATCGATCCGATTCTTTGAGTAAGTGTACATCCCACTTAAAGACAAGACAGCCGCGCAGTACATTAGTGCCACGTTTTCTTGCAACATAATCGCGCGAACCTGACGTCATCCACTCTCTTAACGCAGCAGGGTCTATTTAAAAAAAATTTTTTTTAGTCATGACATTCGTACTTCATGTAAGAATTTCTTATTTTTTATGGGCATCTACTTTCCGATATTACTCGTGTGTGTGTGTGTGTGTGTGTGTGTGTGTGTGTGTGTGTGTGTGTGTGTG